CCTTCCCAGGTGCCCTTACGAAACAGGTTTGAGGCCCTGGAGATTGAGAGACCAGTAACTGAGGAAGAGATAGAAAGTGTTCCCAGGAGGATGCCTAGGGTGAGGAGGTCGACTCCACGCATCAGGACTGCCTCCACCAAGAAAGACAGGAGGGTGATTGTTGTGGGAGACTCTGTCCTTAGGGGAACAGAGGGCCCTATTTGTCGGCCTGACCCTACCTGTAGGGAAGTCTGCTGCCTCCCTGGGGCCAGGGTCAGGGACGTTGCCAAGAAAGTCAAGCGCCTGGTACGGCCCACTGACTACTACCCGCTACTGGTCTTTCAGGCTGGTAGCGATGAAGTAGGAAAGAGAAGTCTGAAGGCGATCAAAAGAGACTTTAGGGATTTGGGGCGACTACTTAGAGGATCAGGCACGCAGTTTGTGTTTGCCTCTGTCCTTCCGATAGGGGGGATCGAAGCTGAAAGGTGTGCTGTTCACATAAACTCGTGGCTTCGAGACTGGTGTGACCGGCAGAACTTTGGGTTCTTTGATCACGGGAAGGTCTATGCTACACCGGGCCTGATGGCACCGAATGGGATGGGCCTCTCTCGGAGAGGGGTAAGGATCTTTGGTCAGGAGTTGGCAGGGCTGATAGATAGGGACTTTAAACTAGAGTCGAAGGGGGAAGGGGCTAAAACCAGGCACGCCGGTGAAGACCTAAGGGATGGTACGCTAGAATCAGAGGGGCTGTGTGCCAGTGAGGTCCTTCGGTTAGATCCACAAGGTGCTGAGTGTAAGGAGACGCACCTGAAATGCTTCTACACGAACGCACGCAGTATGAGGAATAAAATGGATGAGCTAGAAGTACTGGCCCAGTCCCGCAACTACGACATCATCGGCATAAGCGAAACCTGGTGGGATGAGTCCTGTGACTGGGGTGTTGTGATAGATGGTTACAGGCTCTTCAGGAGGGACAGGCAGGGTAGGCGAGGTGGTGGGGTGGCGATGTATGTGAAGCAGGGGCTGGACTGTGTGGAGCTTCAGGTCGGCGATGGCAAAGTTGAGAGCCTCTGGGTAAGGATCAAGGGACGAACGAATAAAGGGGATGTCGTTGTGGGAGTCTATTACAGACCGCCTGGCCAGGACGATAGCGCCGATAAATTATTCTTTACAGAACTAAGAGAGGCCTCGAGATTAACTCCCCTTGTCCTTATGGGGGACTTCAACTTGCCAGACGTTAACTGGGAGTGCCACACGGCTGACACGAGCAAGTCCAGGAGGTTCATGAAGCACCTAGATGATAACTTCTTGGTGCAGGTGCTAACGGAGCCAACTAGGAAAGGTGCCCTCCTAGACCTGTTGCTGGAAAACAGAGAGGGTCTGGTGGGAGATGTGGTGATTGGTGGCCGCCTCTGACATAGTGACCATGAAGTGGTTGAGTTCAAAATTTACGGTGACAGAAGGAAAAGTGCCACCAAAACCTCATCCCTAGATATGGGGAAGGCGGACTTCAGGCTGCTCAGGGAACTAGTCAGCAAGGTCCCCTGGGAAGCTGCTCTTGAAGGCCTTGATGTCCACCAGTGCTGGTCATTCTTTAAGCGATGCCTCCTAGAAGCACAAGAACAGGCAGTTCCTAAATATCGCAAGTCAGGCAGGCTGCGGCAGGAGGCCGGCGTGGCTGACCAGGAACATTCTTATGGAGATTAGGCAGAAACAGAGAGTGTTTCGCTACTGGAAGGAGGGCCAGGTGACATGGAAAGAATATAGGGATGCTGTTCGTGTTTGTAGGAAGAAAATTCGTGTGGCTAAAGCACACCTAGAGTTGAAGCTGGCTGTGTCTGTGAGAGAAAATAAAAAGGGTTTTTTTAGATATGTGAATAGAAAAAGGAGAACTAAAGAATACATAGGGCCGCTCCTTGATAGGGAAGGTCTTCTCACAGACGATGACACAGGCAAAGCAGAGACGCTTAACGCCTTCTTTGCCTCTGTCTTCAATGCCGATGATGGGCTTCGGGACCCAGGGTGCCCTGAGCTGGAGGACCGGGACGGTGGGGATGACAAACTCCCAACCGACCCTGAACTGTGTGCGGGATTTGCTACTCCACCTGGATCCCTACAAGTCCATGGGTCCGGATGGGATTCATCCCCGGGTGCTGAAAGAGCTGGCGGACGTCATCGCGGAACCTCTCTCAATTATTTTTCAACTGATCCTGGGAGTCTGGAGAGGTCCCGGTAGACTGGAAGCTGGCAAATGTTGTGCCTGATTTTCAAGAAGGGTCAGAAAGAAGACCCTAGCAATTACAGGCCTGTCAGTCTCACGTCAGTGCCTGGTAAAATCATGGAGAAGATGGTTCTCGAACTTATTGAGGCGCACCTGGGGGACAAAGCAGTCATTGGTCCCAGCCAGCATGGGTTTGTGAAGGGTAGGTCCTGCCTAACTAACCTGATTTCCTTTTATGATAAGATCACCTGTATGGTGGACCAAGGGAAACCAGCTGATGTGATTTTTTTGGACTTCAGCAAGGCTTTTGACACGGTTTCCCATAGGATCCTACTGGACAAAATGTCCACCATACAGCTAAATAAAAACATCATACGATGGGTGAGCAATTGGCTAACGGGCAGGGCCCAAAGGGTTATGGTGAATGGGGCTGCGTCAGGCTGGCGGGCGGTCACCAGTGGGGTCCCTCAAGGCTCCATTTTAGGGCCGGTACTTTTCAATATTTTTATAAACGATCTGGATGTAGGAATAGAAGGTATTTTGAGCAAGTTTGCTGATGACACCAAACTTGGAGGAGTTGTGGACTCTGTTGAGGGTGGAAAGGCCTTGCAGAGGGATCTGGATAGGTTGGAGAGCTGGGCGATCACCAACCGCATGAAGTTCAATAAGAGCAAGTGCCGGGTCCTGCACCTGGGACGGGGAAACCCTGGCTGCACGTACAGACTGGGCGATGAGATGCTGGAGAGCAGCCTAGAAGAGAGGGATCTGGGGGTCGTGGTAGACAACAAGTTGAATATGAGCCGGCAGTGTGCCCTGGCAGCCAGGAGGGCCAACCGTGTCCTGGGGTGCATCAAGCACGGCATCGCTAGTCCGTCGAGGGAGGTGATTGTCCCGCTCTACTCTGCACTGGTGCGGCCTCACCTCGAGTACTGTGTGCAGTTCTGGGCACCACAGTATAAAAAGGACATGAAACTGTTGGAGAGTGTCCAGAGGAGGGCTATGAAGATGGTGAAGGGCCTGGAGGGGAAGACGTACGAGGAACGGCTGAGGGCACTGGGCCTGTTCAGCCTGGAGAAGAGGAGGCTGAGGGGAGACCTCATCGCAGTCTACAACTTCCTCGTAAGGGGATGTCGAGAGGCAGGAGACCTTTTCTCCATTAAAACCAGCGACAGGACCCGTGGGAACGGGGTTAAGCTGAGGCAGGGGAAGTTTAGGCTTGACATCAGGAGGGGGTTCTTCACAGAGAGAGTGGTTGCACACTGGAACAGGCTCCCCAGGGAAGTGGTCACTGCACCGAGCCTGACTGAATTTAAGAAGAGATTGGACTGTGCACTTAGTCACATGGTCTGAACTTTTGGGTAGACCTGTGCAGTGTCAAGAGTTGGACTTGATGATCCTTAAGGGTCCCTTCCAACTCAGAAAATTCTATGATTCTATGATTCTATGATTCATTGTCTCCTGCAGCTGAGTCAGAATATGGGGTACAAGACAACTTTGGCTTTTGATTATGTACTCCATGCTTAATTGCACAGGAGAACTGTCAAGTTTCACTCTACTTTCTGTACTAACACCAATAACACAATGGTTACAGGACTGTTTTAAACTCTTCACTGCCTCCCTGGGAGTACTGGGAAAGTGACAACTTCAGCTAATTCAAAGATTATAGTTTACTTGTAGAAAAACAGATTAATGAGTAACTTATTTTTTAATGATATGCTGTGAGATTGGTGAACAGTGTCCAAATTAGCAGTGAAAGACATTAATGATATGCACATACTTACTTTCCTGCATAAATTCTGTAAGTTTACTGAAAAAGTTATCCATATAAAGTAACGGAAATAATGCCAAGCATGTTCCCCCACCCTCCCACTTCACCCCATAAGGTGATTAAATGTACAAAGAAATCAAAAATTTAACATTAGCAATTTAGGTAATAGTTCCAACACCACAGTAGCATTTTAAATGCACATAGAGCCATAAATGCCTTCATCAGATTAGGCACTGCAGAATAGCACTTAACCTTTTAATTAGTTGTGTTCACCTGTGTACACTGAAGTGATACATATTGAAATCTGTTAGCCACAAAAAGTGAGTATTTATACTAATTTTTTTTTTTTTTTTTTGCACACATTAATTTGGATTATACTCCTATTCAAAGTTAACTGGTAGAAAAATCCAGAAATTGCTAAAATTAGTGGGAATGTTGCCACTACATTAAATAGGCCAGATTTATCTCTCCAACTTAGGAATTTTCAAATTAAAAGTATGCTGTTTTTTAAGGTGGAAAAGAAATACAATTCTCCAGTTTGTCTGTTTGGTTTCTCCTATAATTTAAGTGTAGTAAGCCGATAGAGCTGAGAACAAGCCGAAGTAACAGTTGGTATTGTCGATGATGGCTCTTCAGTTTGGCTCTGTTTAACAGGCAAAAGAACAAGATAATCAAGACCACAAAGCCATTAAAATACCCCAAACTCTCCCTTCTTTCAGTCAGGTGTCCATGTCTTTCTATTCATGCGGGGAACAACCACTACCAACCTTCTACTAAGGCAAAAATCTTCCCATGTTCTGAGCTGATCATTTCATCCTCATTTAAAAGGACATCCATCGGTACCTCAGAATCCTGTTTCAGTTCATCAGTCAGGAAACACTCTTTGCCCATTGTGCCAGAACAGAGCCACCTGCTTTCCTGGCAAGGCTCATAGGTTTTGTTGCAGATGCCGGACCAACTTAAAAAGACATTTTCTGGACATACTTCACCCACAGGAGCAGCACATAATGCTGTTGCACAAGAAAATATTACCTTTTCTGATAGTGCTTCTTCTAAGGTTGCTAGTGCTGTGTCTGTGTTACTAGAATCCGTCTGCAATGACTTCACTCTGTCTTTTAGATTAGTTAGTTGTTTGTCTTTGTCCCTAAGTTGCTCCTGTAGATTTTCAATCTGAAAATAAAACCAGATCATAATATTCATCAACCTTGTCTTAGCATTTAAACAACGACTTGGGTGATAGGATCAACTGAATGTATACACATTGTACATAAAATACACATGCCACAATATACTACTAGGTTTCTACACAATGTAATGTGAACAGTTTTTAACTTCTGTCTTCTCTTGTTTTCCTTTGCCACAAAATCATAGAATCATATGAGTTGGAAGAAACCTTAAAGGCCACCTAGTTCCAACCACCCCATGCTCTGGGCAGGGACACCTCCCACTAGATTAGGCTGCCCAGGACCTCATCTAATACCTCATCTAATCTGGCCTTGAACACCTCCAGGGATGGGGCATCCGCAGCTTCTCTGGGCAGCCTGTGCCAGTGCCTCACCACCCACCGCGTGAGAATTTCCTTCTGACATCTAATCTACATCTTCCCTTTTAGTTCAAAACCATTCCCCCTTGTCCTATTATTAACTACCCTTATTTTCTTTAATGGTATTTTCTATTAAATGAAATAAAATCTCAGTGCAGTCAGCTATTATACTATTTAAATATTTTCTGATATTAATCATTTTAGTTAAAGGTACTGCATTATCTCAGTAATTCGAAGTATGCGTGGAATGGCCCCTTTAGATAATTCTAGTTACAATAAAGACAAAGAAAGAGAGAGGCAAAGCAAGTTCAGTGAGCCACAAAGTGAGAAAGAGGAAAGATGATAACCTACTTCTCTAACAACCTCTTCCTCCATGATGCCCTGCTGTAAAAGAAACTCATCTGGACAGAGATCGTGATAGTACCAGTTGATAGTTACCGAGAGCTACATAAAAACAAACAAACAAAAAACTCTTAAAAAACAAAAAACCCTTTCACTCTTACTTGAGGTACAGAGCAGTTTAGATGGGAAAGTGTTATTAGAAGCTGAGGAGTAGTGTAGATGCTGAACATCTTCATACTCATCAGATACCAAGACTGAACCTCTGAGCACAAGAAGGTCCAACTAAGGAAGGCACCAAAAATGGTACCCAATATATTTTAGACATTTTAATAAAATCCTTATTTTTCCATAATACATTCTAGATAAGCCAAGCAATCATTGCAGGCTTCCTGTCCCTGATGGTACCTATGCAGTTATAACTTGTGCATAAAGTTGACCACATATTGACCGTTTCACAGAAGCAGAGAATATTGGAGTTAGAAGGGACCCACAAGGCTCGAGTCCAGCACCTGGGTCCCAAAATCTGTTAAAGGGTTTAAATACATGAGACTTTAAATTCTAGGGAACAGCATAACTGAAAATAAACGACTGTCTTCATTCTTATAAGCAGTGTATAATATTCTTATAGTAATACTATTCACCCAGTCTTAAAGAATAAGAAAAAAAAACTGTTCAGCAAATTCAAATTTCCTATGTCCTGAAGATGCCAAAGATTAGATAAAAACCATAATTTCGTAATGCACAGTTATTACGGAGGAGGAAAAAAAAAGATAAAACTGAAAAAAAGCCAGATATACTCAATTTCTTCTTACAGAAACAATAGACATTACATAAAATGTTTACCGGTTGTTCTCTGGATACCCAGTACCCTGAGCTGGTGGAAGGGGATGGGAAGCAGGATGTGGCCCTCACCATCCACGAAGAACTGGTTGGTGACCTGCTACGGCACTTGGATATACGCAAGTCGATGGGGCCGGATGGGATACACCCAAGGGTACTGAGAGAACTGGCAGAGGAGCTGGCCAAGTCACTATCCATCATTTATCAGCAGTCCTGCCTATCGGGGGAGGTCCCACTTGACTGGCGGCTAGCAAACGTGACGCCCATCTACAAGAAGGGTCAGAGGGCAGACTCGGGAAACTACAGGCCTGTCAGTTTGACCTCAGTACCAGGGAAGCTCATGGAGCTGATCCTCTTGAGAGTCATCACGCAGCACTTGCAGGGCAAGCAGGCGATCAGGCCCAGTCAGCATGGGTTTATGAAAGGCAGGTCCTGCTTGACGAACCTGATCTCCTTCTGTGACAAAGTGACACGCTGGGTGGATGAGGGAAAGGCTGTGGATGTGGTCTACCTTGACTTCAGCAAGGCTTTTGACACCGTCTCCCACAGCATTCTCCTCAAGAAACTGGCTGCCCTAGGCTTGGACTGGCGCACGCTTCGTTGGGTTAGAAACTGGCTGGATAGCCAGGCCCAAAGAGTCGTGGTGAATGGAGTCGAGTCCAGTTGGAGGCCAGTCACTAGTGGCGTTCCCCAGGGCTCGGTGCTGGGGCCGGTCCTCTTTAATATCTTCATCGATGATCTGGACGAGGGCATTGAGTGCACCCTCAGTAAGTTTGCAGATGACACCAAGCTAGGTGCGTGTGTCGATCTGCTCGAGGGTAGGAAGGCTCTGCAGGAAGATCTGGATAGGCTGCACCGATGGGATGAGGTCAACTGCATGAAGTTCAACAAGACCAAGTGCCGGGTCCTGCACCTGGGGTGCAACAACCCCAAGCAGAGCTACAGGCTGGGAGATGAGTGGTTGGAGAGCTGCCAGGCAGAGAAGGACCTGGGAGTGACGGTTGATAGTTGGCTGAATATGAGCCAGCAGTGTGCTCAGGTGGCCAAGAAGGCCAACAGCATCCTGGCTTGTATAAGAACCAGTGTGACCAGCAGGGCTAGGGAGGTGATCGTCCCCCTGTAATCGGCTCTGGTGAGGCCGCACCTCGAGTACTGTGTTCAGTTTTGGGCCCCTCAATACAAGAAGGACATCAAGGTGCTTGAAAGAGTCCAGAGAAGGGCGATGAAGCTGGTGAGGGGCCTGGAGAACAAGTCCCACGAGGAGTGGCTGAGGGAGCTGGGCTTGTTCAGCCTGGAGAAAAGGAGGCTCAGGGGCGACCTTATCGCTCTCTACAGGTACCTTAAAGGAGGCTGTAGCGAGGTGGGGGTTGGCCTGTTCTCCCACGTGCCTGGTGACAGGATGAGAGGGAATGGGTTTAAGTTGTGTCAGGGGAGTTTTAGGTTGGATCTTAGGAAGAACTTCTTTACCGAAAGGGTTGTTAGGCGTTGGAATGGGCTGCCCAGGGAAGTGGTGGAGTCACCGTCCCTGGAAGTCTTTAAAAGATGCTTAGATGTAGAGCTTAGGGATATGGTTTAGTGGGGACTGTTAGCGTTAGGTCAGAGGTTGGACTCGATGATCTTGAGGTCTCTTCCAACCTAGAAATTCTGTGATTCTGTGATTCTGTAAAATACTATGAAACCACATTAAGTTTGCTGTTCCTTTCATCAAAAAATGTAATGTTTCTCATGGCCAAAATCATTTACATTTAAAGCAATTCAGACTTTAACTTAGGCAGGATCCTTCATAATTATTTTTAAACCAGATTTAAATATTCTGTTACAAACTTAAAGATGAATTCTATGCATGAGCAGCTCCATAGAATTCAACAATTACAACCATAAAAAACAATTCGGTTCCCAATGTGCAAAAAAATAATAATAATAAAAATAAATAATCTATGACTGTAATCAGAACCATTTTAATTTGGGTTTTACTTTGGTAAAATTCTTCACCTCTGTTACAGTGTTATACATGTGCGGGAAAAAAAAGGCTGAACTTAAGTTTTATCATATAGACCAATAATTAACAAATTATAAAATCCAGAGTACAGCTTTGTGCATTTTATAAAGTTCAAAAAGATGCAAATTTAAAGAGAAATCAAGGGAAAATAAAATAAAATATATAAATATAAGTATATACGTATATATAATAAAATATAAAATATATATTAAAATAAAATTTGAGAGTCTATTTGAAGGCGCACTTTTCAATTGGAAAGTCTTTATGTCAGTGTGATAAATTCAAATATTTTGTTTTTATTATTAATATTTACATACATGGCTTGGTACATCAAATTACTACTATGGACAAAACATTCCACTTGTTCTGTAAGCTATAAAACACTAAGGTATATATAAAAAGGTTTTGGTGAAGACCTGGCACAGAATAGTTCTTGTAAATGATCTCTAGTAATATTTTTCTTCCTGTGTATGTTTTATACAGATACAGAAATAAGATACATGTGTTAATGAGTTAAGAACTTTTTATTTTATGGCATGTGTATTAGTCACATCTAAAATTACATTAGCTGGCATTCAGCAGACTGCACACTGTGTTTCTTCCTTTACTTTCTTACAAGTATTGACGATTCTAACAACTGCCTCATGACACCCAGTGGAATATCTAAGCAATTGCACTCTTCAACTTCAAAATAAAATCTCAAGCAAAGAGGAAATAACACAGGAGAGTGAATATTGATTACGTGTTCTTTGAAACAAAGTTAAGATCTGGTCCTTTATTATCATCAGCTTGACCTACCAATTCTAGGCACCCCAAATTAAAGTACTTATTTCCTATGCACAGTGCTTATCTGAATTCCACAGCATTTACATGATTTCCTTCCTCTTAAAACTAATTTAAAATATGATCCAACTCTTAACCAAGAAAACATGTTCTAAAAGTATTCAGCATCTACAAAATTCTTTCCTCAGAGGTAAAGAGAATAGGCAGCAAATTAAAAACATCCCCATTGAATCACAACTGCTTTAAAAGAAGTCATTTGATGCATAGTCTAGAGATATAAACAAGAGGAAAAGATCTGATTATTCTTCTTTTTGTGCTATATAAATCCAAAGAAAATGCATTGATGGGAACAGGACCACATTGTGAAAAGAGAATTAGTACCACAGAGTTTTTGTTTGTTGGGATGGGCACAGGATTAGTAAAGATCTGCTAACGCAGGCCAAATTTTATGACTAGTTAATCACAAAGTTCTCAAAAAGATTAGAAGAGCCAGTGATTGAGCAGTCTCTGATGCTAAAATCTTGGAACACAAAATATGATTGAGTTCTCTCCCCCTTCCCCTCCCCCCACCCTACCGCTTTTTTTTTTTTTTTTCTTAAATCCAGAAGGAACAAAATAAACCCTCTGGTAAACAATATCATCTAATATACATTGGGCACAGGC